CGATGCCAGCGAGGACTCCGTAAGCGCCAATAAAAACACCTGCCTGGAGTGTGGCAAGACTTTAGCATGTCGTTCCGCTTTGATAAGACATCAACTCGTTCACTCTTCAGTACGGCCGTTCAAGTGCACCCAGTGTAACAAGTTCTATAAAACTGAGAAAACCCTGAACCGACATGTCCTGATCCATTCCAAACCTATAGTCCTGTCCTTTGCTTGCAGCCTTTGTGAGAAGACATTTAGTTCTCGGACTTTGCTCACAGTTCATCTGCGGCGTCACAGTGGAGAGAGGCCGTTTGCCTGCTCGTACTGTGATAAGAGGTTCCTGACAAATTCTGTTCTGAAGTCCCACATGCGCATTCATACCGGCGAGCGCCCGTACGCCTGTACTTTTTGCGACAAGACATTCACACAAGTGTATCCTCGCACTGTGCACCTCAGGATGCACACGAAAGAGAAACCATACTTGTGCAGCACATGTGGTATGTCCTTCTGTAGCTCTGGGGCCTTGCTGGTGCATTCACGCACTCACACAAAGGAGAGGCCTTATCAGTGCGATTCCTGTGAAAAAAGTTTTCCTACGGCTATACAACGGACAATCCATCGGAGATGCCACACAGGAGAGAGGCCGTATTCTTGCTCACAGTGTGAAAAATCATTCCACAGTAGCTCGGGACTGACGAAACACACAAGGACACACACGGGAGAGAAACCTTACAAGTGTGTAACATGTCACAAGACGTTTTCCCAAAAATCCAACATGAGAATACATCTAAAAGTTCACAAGAACATCTAGCATACTGTTTTTGGAGACTGGTTGTTGGCATGTGTGTGTATCTTAAATGATAAATGAAAGCCTTGTTCATTTCTATGTCAGGACAAGCTGTTTTGGTACATCTTGATATCAGTAAATCACTAACATGTATGTATGTAAATATAAATTAAAATATCACACATTGGAGTGTATGTAAATGTAGATTGCGTTTTAAAAGACAATAATGTTTAACACTTGCTTAGGTTTGTGTTATGTTGTTGAGAGAAAGTACTGTAAGTCAATAAAACGTGCTGACAAAAGATTTTTCTTCCTGTTTCTTATTGGATGTTTGAGCTTTACTTTGCAGAATGATGTATGTGCATGAGTTTGACACTCACATTCATCTACAGAAAGTGCAAGGTGTCTCTGTGCTTATTGAAAATCTGATTTTAAGGGGCGGGACCTACGAGCATAATTTGTGACATCACAAATAGTTTGGAAGTCCATCCTGGTTCTGTGTGCAACTTATATAAGCATGATGTAGAAGTAGTAGATGCCTTTTTAATGATTTTAATTTGCACACACATTATTGTTCCAAGCAGACTATTTGTATATATGTCTTAATACATGATTGGCGGGGATCTTTAAGGAGGGTTGGTATGTGTGACTGAATTCATTGTAGTGATTCATTGTACTGTAAGAATGAATGAGCAGGTATGTCTAAATATGAGAGTAAAATAAATAAACACAACTTTGGGTGCCCAGTAGCTCACCTGGTAGAGTCTGCGTGTACAAAGGCTGAGTCTTTACCGCAGCGGTCCAGATTTGCTTCCAAGCTGCGGTCCTTTGCTGCATGTCATTCTTTCTCTTTCCTCAGTTTCCTGTCTATCTTCAAGCTGTCACTATCCAAATAAATGTGTGAAAGGTCCAAAAAAGCAGAGTATAACCTGTCTAAAACATGATTTTTGAGGCCAATGTGGATACTGATATATTGGCCTGATATTATTTTTCTTTACATGACCAATAACATAAAATTTTTTAATAAGGTTCCCTTAAATATATATATTTTTTGACAAGCCCTGTACATTTCTTGTTACCAATAAATTACAGGGCAGGACATTTTCTATCTGAAAAATGAATAAACTTGAGTGGTGACAGTATTTCAAAACATGTCTTTGGCATTTCTGTATTTAAATTTCTTGTAAATACTGATGTATCTGTAAGAAGCTAATATCGGCTGATGTATTGGTGCGATGGCCACAGCCACACATGAAAATATTATCTTAATTCAAACTATCACCTCATCAGTTTGTGAACATACCGAAATACTGTCAAATACTGCTTATGGTGGACTTTATTATGGGTTTATGCTGCATTTGACCCTAATGAATGTGTGTACCAAAGATTATAAACAGTACTTTAATCTGAATTAAGAAATTGAAGAGGTTTAATACATTCAGCTACAGATGTGATAGAATTCACACTGTACTCTACTGAACAAAGAGTGGATGGTCAGACGGAAAAAATCATAAAAATACTAATCTTGTGCATTTGAGTTCCTCAGAGTTACCGAACACTTTGCCTATGAGTCGTTCGACAACATGAATATTTTATTATAAATTCAAAATCATCTGTTTCTTACAATTGTTAAAAAAGACAGAACAGATACTGTGAGCTTTCTGAGCTGAAATCTTAAACTGACAACCGACTCATCTTCTGGATAATGAGAGAGAGGGCAGAGTAGCTAAACAAGCTCATACATAGACACCACAATTTAAACCTTCAAAATCAGAGGGAAAGGGTATCGCATGGAAGAAAATCAGTAAAGAGTGGCAGCAGCACTGGGATCAGGAGATACATAAATAATGTTTGTACTGACAGAAACGTGAGTAAATAGAAAAGAGCAGGTAAAAATGACCAGAAGACATTCACACTCTTAAAGTACAAAGGATCTATCCTTACTATCTCACACACATGAGCACTCCTTAATGATGGTATATTTTGTTAGCACATTTTTTGACTTTTTTAGATTTTTTTAGATTACCTGAACATAACTACACACTAAAATCAAGTCTTTGACCTATGCTAACCCTAAACAATATGCTCTTTAATAATATATGCTCCAACATGTACGATTCCCAAGTGTCCCAAGTCCATATTTACATACGTACATTTGATTTAGTGATATGAAGACGCACTGAAACAGCTGGTTCTGACACAGAAATAACCAGGCTTTCATTTATCATTTAAGATACTGCAAGCGTGCCAACAACCGGTGTCCAAAAACAGTATGCTAGATGTTCTTGTGGACTTTCAGATGTTTTCTCATGTTGGATTTTTCGGAAAACGTCTTGTGACAGGTTAAACACTGGTATGGTTTCTCTCCTGTGTGTGTCCTCATGTGTTTCTTCAGTCCCGAGCTACAGGCGAACGATTTGTCGCACTGTGAGCAAGAATACGGCCTCTCTCCCGTGTGGAATCTCCGATGGACTGTCAGTTGTACAGCTTTCCTGAAACGTTTCCCACACAAGTCACACTGATGAGGCCGCTCGCCTGTGTGAATGCGTGAATGCACCAGCAAGGCCCCGGAGCTACAAAAGGACATACCACATGTGCTGCACAGGTACGGTTTCTCTTTCTTATGAACCCTGAGGTGCACAGTGCGACAGTGTGACTGTATGAATTTCTTGTCGCAAAAAGTACAGGCATATGGGCGCTCGCCGGTATGAATGCGCACGTGGGACTTCAGGGCGAAATTGTTCAAGAACCTCTTGCCACAGTACGAGCAGGCAAATGGCCTCTCTCCAGTGTGAACTCGCATGTGAACTTTAAGTGAAGCCTGAGACCCAAATCTCTTCTCACAAAGGCTGCAAGGAATGGACACGACTTTTGAGTGAATTAGGAAATGTCGATTCAGGTCTGGTTTACATGTGTATGACTTGTCACACTGAGTGCACTTGAATGGCCGTACCGCAGAGTGAAGAAAATGATGTCTTCTCAAGGAGGCAGGCGATGCTAAAGTCTTGCCACACTCCAGGCAGGTGTTTTTATTGGCTCTTACGGAGTCCTCGCTGGCATCGTCTCCGCCTCTTGTCAGTGACTGGCTCTCTTCTGATGGCTCCTTGCTTCTACTCAGATCCAGATGTTCCTTCAGTCCTTCCACTGAGCATCTGGGTGGCTGGAAGGCGGCTTCACCAGCTGTTTCTGCCATCAGGAAACAACAATTAGAGATGAATTCACTCAACAGAAACTACACGCCGAGTGAAGAGTTTAATGACTTCACAGTCAACACTTGTATTGCAGTACAACTATTTTTTTCTGAATATCCAAAAAAACAAGAGATTCTCACCTTCATCACCTGCTTCTTCAGAACATGGAGAGGAAGTAAGAGGTGACAGCCAGTACGAGTTTGGATTAGTTTCAATGGAACTGTTGTCAGTCTCTTCATCGTCCTCACAAATGTCTTCTATGCCACAGCTGTCTTCTTGCTTCAGTGTCTTCTGCTCCGTCTTTTCTTTGCTGTCTTCACCTCCCTCATCCATTTTTTGATCAATATGTTCTTCAGATGCTGCCGAAGTCAGTTTAGATGCGAGCGTGGAGAGGATAGTGTCCGACACAAAGGTGAATTCACCTGAGAAACAGAGACAACATTATTTTTAGAGGTAGGTGCCATTCTATATTCTAATATGGTAATTGTAATAGATTATATGGTGGGTATCAGTTGGTGGATGGGATTTTTATGATACATCATTTAAAAAGTCTTCAGGTTTCACTGCAGCTTGACTGTAAATAGGAGAAATAAAATACAAAACGTTAACAGATTCTTACTTTTAGTCAACTTTTGATGCTCCTGCTGATGCTGAAGAATCCTCTTCAGGTCTTCAGGGTCGGAGACAAACTGCTCAACCTCATAGTCAAAGGAAGAAATGTCAAACATGGATAATACCTGGAAAAGAAGAGTGGGCACATATAAACATATATATTTATAAGACTCTAAACTCCTGCTTGTTTCTCCATGATCATTCTTTACGTTTTTAGTAGAAATGGCCTTAAACAGCTGTGATTCTGAAACATTTTACTTTACTACCACTACTACAAAGTTGGAACAATGGCTAATTACCTAGAAATAATGTATCAGCCAGAATTTGGGGATCAAGTGAACAGAAGGGCAGTTGGACAGTCACCCTACCACCTACCTGTGAAAAACTCGGTACTGGGAGGAACTCCTCCAGTCGGTAGAAGAACTCCCACACCAGGATCTGCAGCGCTGTATCAAAACGAGCTCCATATCGGACCGAGAAGACTTCCTTTGACAGGAAAAAAATTTAAACATTAAATTGTTTTACAGATAGACACATAAAGTAGATGTATATATTAATTGGTTTTTGAAAAACCTAAAAAATGTTGGTGTAAGACCCACCTTGAAGAAGTTGTCTTTTTGTGATTGGTCTCTCAGCAATGTCTCAACCAGCTCCACAAATGCTGACTTTGAAATCTCCACCTCTGAATCTTGGTCCTGTCACAAAGCAAAGGAGGAGTTTATCTACATTGCATTAACATAAACAGCTTATGAACTTCTGCATCTACATCTGAAAGTAACAAAAAATATTTCAGGGTATGGTAAAAACCTTAAGGGTATACTGGTGTTATGGCAGTTTGGCTAAGGACATCAAAATGACTCTCTCTTCGTCTGGTATACAGCTCTTTCTGACATGGTGTTTTTACCTGAGGACACAATAGACATTAACATTACCCACCTCTTCGTGTATACAGTTTGTTGTCCTCGGTTGAAAACTGTTTAGATTATTCCGCATAGCTTCACAGTCAACCTTGTCCGTCCTCCTTAACAATTCAAGCACGAGCTGAAAAACACAAATGAAAGTAAAACTGTTTAATTGTGTCCCAGAGCCAAACACAGAATCTTACAAGCAATGCTGCATTTGGTTAGCTTTGGTTGTGTTTATAAGCAACGTTTAAATGAAGCAATCGTCACTTTACATGCATAAACTGATAATAGGATAAAAGGAGCTCAGTGATACAGAATTAAAGTGCATCTGCAGGCTGTCACACTCTCATAAACCCTTAATGCTTTGCACTATTGAAGATGTGCAAAGTACCATTTATAACAATCCAGGTTGAAAAGGGCACAGTTGTGTGGGTATGTTGCTGTAGGTGGAATGATTGGAAGCATTCAAACTGTATCAGGCATGCATGATTTTATAGCCCTTTGATGACCTCTAACTCCAGCAACAGAGTGTCAAGTGCCAGCAGTCCAATCGACTGAATCATACAGCTAACAGCCTTACCATTGTGGAGGGATTATTTTAATCACTGCACATTTTGCAACGTCAATTCAATTTGTATATCTTATCGCATTGTCTCAGTGGGCTTTAACCAACAGCAATCCATCCATTATCTATAATCGCTTATCCTTTTGAGGGTTGAGAGTGGGCTGGGGCCTAACCCAGCAGACATTGTCTCTGTGTGTCAGCCCTGGGATGAACTGGTGACCTCTCCAAACAACCGTTCACGTTCAAATTCACACCTACGGGAAATTTAGAGTCACAAATTAACCTGCTTTTCTTTGGACTGTGGGAGGAAGCCAGAGCACCCAGAGGAAACTCACACAGACTCAGGAGAACATGTAAACTCCACACACACCAACTGTAAAGACTGTACTAATTTACACTTTCTGGTGTAATCATCACAGTCCCGGTTGGCATTTTGACTGCTTTCCCTCCACACAAATAGTCTTAACAGCCACATTCACTCACCCGAGCTCTCAGTCCCAGGATGAGCTGAGTCTTCTGTTTGTAGCTCATAAGCTCTGGGACCATCTCTGTCACCAGCGTGATGAATTCAGCCAGTTTGGCATACTGGTCTACGTTTCGCTCCTGGGCCACCTGCCACATACAGGCTGACATCAACCTCAGTGGAGGAACCAGGAGGTGCAGGGATGACAGAGGAAGAAGAGGACCTAGTAGAAGATGCATGCAGTTAAACAAATAAACACCACATTATTAACTTAACTCAGAAGTGTAGAGATGCATAAAAATTCCAACACATTCAACCACACCCTGCTCTAGAATAAGGGTAACCTACTACAGTAAATGTTTATATGGGTGCAATTAATGTCGATTAGTCTGACAATTATTTTTTCAATTAATCGTCTTAATTAGAAGTCTATCAAATGTCAGAAAATATGAAATCCATCCATTCAAATGTCCTAGAGCTTTTAGATTGCTTGTTTTGTCCAGCCAACAGTCCAAAACCAAAAAGATATTTAATTTACAATGATATAAAAGTGAGAGAAGCAGCTAATCTTATCATTCGAGAAGCTGGAACCAGAAAATATTTACTGTTTAATTAATTGTATGACAATTAATGTGATATAAAGATGATTAAATCGTCAAGTAGTGCGTTTAGTATAATTTTCTTTTGAATTTAATAGAAACAGGATTAACGTGTAGCATGTAGTTTCTGGTCCACACTCCGAACCAGTAGGTGGCGGTAGTGAGTCGGCTTATTTTAATATTCAATAATAAATATTCTGATATAATATATGTGATATATGATAGGTATTTTGCAAACACTATAAATATAAACACAACAATAGAAATCATATGTAGAGTATCAATATAATTTACATATATATATATCAGAGAAAATGAAAATATATATATAAATCAGAGTATCAATATAATTTATATCAGGTCAGAGAGAGAGAGAGACTGTTCGCATTCACATCAAAACAGCAGGAAATGTACCTATTCCAGCATTAACAGCAAATATAGCATAGCAAACCTAAAAGTTGGGTTAGGTTTAGTGGTCTATTTGCGGTCTTTGCCCTCTTTTCTCTGGCCATGGCATTCTTCTTCTCTCGCTCCAGACTTTCCACTCTTGCTAAGGCTTCATTGAGTCTGGTCTTAAGAGCGGTAGGAGAAGCAGGCAAGGCATAGCCATGATCCTAGTAGAAAGAGGGATGAACATGGTTTGAGTGATGTGTGTGTGTGTGTGT